CCCCTGCCAAGAAGCAGGAATATTGCATTCAAATCACCCCTGACAGATGGCCATCCAGCCTCTGTTTAAAAGCTTCCAAAGAAGGAGCCTCCACCACACTCCGGGTCAGAGAGTTCCACTGCTGAACGGCTCTCACAGTCAGGAAGTTCTTCCTCATGTTCAGATGGAATCTCCTTTCTTGTAGTTTGAAGCCATTGTTCCGCGTCCTAGTCTCCAGGGAAGCAGAAAACAAGCTTGCTCCCTCCTCCCTGTGGCTTCCTCTCACATATTTATACATGGCTATCATATCTCCTCTCAGCCTTCTCTTCTTCAGGCTAAACATGCCCAGCTCCTTAAGCCGCTCCTCATAGGGCTTGTTCTCCAGACCTTTGATCATTTTAGTCGCTCTCCTCTGGACACATTCCAGCTTGTCAATATCTCTCTTGAATTGTGGTGCCCAGAATTGGACACAATATTCCAGGTGTGGTCTAACCAAAGCAGAATAGAGGGGTAGCATTACTTCCCTAGATCTAGACACTATGCTCCTATTGATGTAGGCCAAAATCCCATTGGCTTTTTTCCCCCCACATCACATTGTTGGCTCATGTTTAACTTGTTGTCTACGAGGACTCCAAGATCTTTTTCACACGTACTGCTCTCAAGCCAGGCATCCCCCATTCTGTATCAAGTTTAATTGAAAAATCTACAAAGAAGAGATAAGTGATGTAATCCACAAACAGGCTAAACCAAGCACTCAACCCAATTCATATAGAAATTCCAAATTGAAGCTAAAACATATATACACTTAACTGGAAAGAAGACTAACTGAAGTGAATTGAACTTAAACCTGAGAAGTTTTGTGTAAAATTGAACTGTTAATTGTTTATTTATTTCACTGTCCTTGAAATAAACTACAAGAACAGATTACCATGTATTTTGGTCCTGATTATAAAACAAAAGTAAAACAAATGTAAAGGTTTCCCCTTGAAGTTAAGTCTAGTCGTGTCCAACTCTGGAGGGTGGTGCTCATCTCTATTTTTAAGCTGAAGAGCCGGCATTGTCCGTAGACACCTCCAAGGTCATGTAGCTAGCATGACTGCATGGAGCGCCATTACCTTCCCACCAGAGCGGTACCTATTGATCTACTCACATTTACATGTTTTTTAACTGCTAGGTTGACAGAAGCTGGGGCTAACAGCTAACCCCGCTCCCCAGATTCAAACTGCTGACCTTTCAGTCAGCAAAATCAGCAGATCAGTGGTTTAACCCGCTGCGCCACCAGCGCGCCTAATAAAACAAAACCCAGAACAAAAGGAACTACTAATAAATGAGGAGGAGGGAATAGAAGAAGGAGAGGGGAATCCATTATCTACCACATTATATGTCAGTGAAATTATTTATAAGTATGACATTTAGATATACATAAACAAGACACTTTGTTTTCAAGAGAAAATGACCTGCAATTGCTCAAGAATACAAGCCATCTTTATCATCATGTGTCAAGAACTACTATTCTTAAGTCAGCTCCAAAGTACTTTCAGGAGGCTTTGATACTGAACTAAGATATTTGTGCCTAGATATTTTTAGTGCATGTCAAATGAAACATTTCCTATGGAAAAAATGCTTTGATCTGAGAACTTCGTATGTTTTGGTTTATTATCTGTTTTCCTTCAACAAAACACAGAGACATTTCTAAATTAAAACATTTCTAGCCGTTTAGTGTACAAAGATGACCCTCGCATAGGTGAACCATGTTTCATTTGCATAACAACAGCTGCCTACTGCCTATTTTAATGCAGTGATGAGTTTAGAATGCCTTTTGGAAAGCATGCCACAAAATGAAGACCCAAAAACATACTGGCCTAAATTTGGTATAGTGACAATATATTAGGAAAAAGGGGGAAGGTAAACTTACCAAGTCATTGTAAGGTTTGTTGAGATATGGCTTGCTGTAGATATATGAACTTACCTTAGCCAAAAAGCTATAGATCAGTGGTTCTCAACTGTGGGTCCCCAGATGTTTTCATAGGATCATAGAATCAAAGAGTTGGAAGAGACCTCATAGGCCATCCAGTCCAACCCCCTGCCAAGAAGCAGGAATATTGCATTCAAATCACCCCTGACAGATGGCCATCCAGCCTCTGTTTAAAAGCTTCCAAAGAGGAGCCTCCACCACACTCCGGGGCAGAGAGTTCCACTGCTGAACGGCTCTCACAGTCAGGAAGTTCTTCCTAATGTTCAGATGGAATCTCCTCTCTTGTAGTTTGAAGCCATTGTTCCGCGTCCTAGTCTCCAAGGAAGCAGAAAACAAGCTTGCTCCCTCCTCCCTGTGGCGTCCTCTCACATTTTTATACATGGCTATCATATCTCCTCTCGGCCTTCTCTTCTTCAGGCTAAACATGCCCAGTTCCCTAAGCCGCTCCTCATAGGGCTTGTTCTCCAGACCCTTGATCATTTTAGTCGCCCTCCTCTGGACACATTCCAGCTTGTCAATATCTCTCTTGAATTGTGGTGCCCAGAATTGGACACAATATTCCAGGTGTGGTCTAACCAAAGCAGAAAAGAGGGGTAGCATTACTACCCTAGTTCTAGACACTATGCTCCTATTGGTGCAGGCCAAAATCCCGTTGGCCTTTTTTGCTGCCACATCACATTGTTGGCATTGTTTTGCCCTTCAACTCCCAGAAATCCTATCAGCTGGTAAACTGGCTGGGATTTCTGGGAGTTGTAGGCCAAAACAGGAGCAAAAAGTCATCACTTTGAAATAAAAATACACTTAAGTCTTACTGTTACCAAGAATCAAAATGTAAATGTGCCAAGAGAGATGGTATTTTGCATATTGACCAAAACAGTCAAGTAACTCATTTGTATCCAAAATTTGGTACTTTAAATTGTTTTGAATTTTGTTACATTTAACCTAATTTGAACACCATAAACACACATTTATCTATGCTGCCAATGTTTATTTTAGAGTATTTATGCACCACCCTTCAGTAGCAAAGGCTCTCAGGACGTCTTACTTTCTTCTTTTTTCGCCATGCTTCTTAAGAGACTTTAAACCAAAAAGTTAAAGTTTCAACAAGATTTGGTGTGATATTAATTCCTGTCATATATTTGTTATTACAACCATATTTATTATTATAACCATAGGGTTCTGTACTTGTAACTATTTTTCATAGACCCTACCACTTTACGATTTCCAGTCTTCATGACAGCTCATGGGAATGATTCTTTAGGTAACATTTAACTTCTTTTGAAAGTAAGTCCTAGAAGTTCATTACTAAGATGATCTATAATTTAGGCTGACTTATCTTTTAAACAAACAATTCAAAAAAATTACCACCGTTTTCAACAATAGGTCAAAGAAACATATTTGGGGTTAAGATAAAACAGAAACAGAAGTGACATATATTTATTACATTTGGCAGCAAATCAAGTTAAGAACTGTGCATAATTAATGACAAACTGAAAATATATTTGCCTTAGATAAGAATACTAGATGTTGCTTTTGAAGATTATATGGCTGCATAGCAGAAAACATAATATATCACTTTTAAATATTTAGAAATAAAGTATGTTAAAAAAAACAATTCAATGTATCTTCTGTTTTTCTCACCACATAAAACACTTCATTTTTTGTATGTAAAAGTTGTCCATACACTTTCACATCTATGTTAAGATTAAGATACAATGTTTATCTAAAGGAGTGACTTTTGCTTTTATGACTTTTAAGATACATATCATATTTGGCAAGATTTCGCATTAACAAATATTCTAAAGGAGCACCCAAATCTGAAGATAAATTACTTGGGTAATACAGCTGATTTTTTTTTTTTGGTGCATAACTATTTAGTATTAAGTAAAACTCATTTATTTCTATGGACTAAAATTGTCCTTCACTGTATTGGTGTACCATCCTGTTGCATATATACAACTTCCCCATCCCGTTTTTGTACAATGGCCTTTGGTCATACTATTTTTCTTATTCGTTGGCTACAATACTGGTTGTTTATTCGTTCAGTTGCTTCCGACTCTTTGTGACCTCATGGATCAGCCCACGCCAGAGCTCCCTGTCGGCCATGGCCACCCCCAGATCCTTCAAGGTCAAGCCCGTCACTTCAAGGATGCCATCCATCCACCTTGCCCTTGCATTCAATGAGCTACAGCAAAGGACAACTATGAATAGTGCTGTGGCAAAGATGCAACTGAACTCAAGTCAAAAAGATGTTCATCTATGGGTAGGTGTAAAAGCAAAGTCCAAAGTTGTATGATATACACACAATGTTTATTGATTGATTTTATGCTCTTCCTTTCTCCAGAATAGAATTGAATGTGGCTGCATGGAATGTGAAAATATGAGCACAGAAAGCAAGAGACATGAATCAGGAGAAGTTAAACATTGTAAAATAAGAATAACATATAAACATTGCAGTATTTAGGGTGAGCAAGCCACCTTGGATAGGAAATGGACTTTTCCAATCAGAGAATTAGGCAGTATTTTACTCAGGAAATGAAAAGACAGAGTAATAGGATAATATTAAAAGTTAGGGGAGATGAAGCAAAAACACTCAGGGCACATACAGTAAAGTCTGATTGAATGATTTCAAGAAGATCTCATATTCATTTTGCTTTGGCCACATCATGAGACAGCATGTCATTATAACAGTCAATAATTCCTGGTATGATGTGAGGCAGGAGGGAAAAAAACCCTTTACAACTGGACAGACTCAGTCAAAAAGACCATAGTTTTGAGTTTGCATGATATGAGCTAGGTTGTTGATTATATGGTATCTTAGAGGTCCGCCATATGGCAAAGTCAACTTAAAGGCAATTAACAACAACAAGTTCATTGTCATGATATAATTTTGTCTCCACTAAACCTGAAAAAGCTTTTTTCACCAACTTAAACTCTTATATAAAGTTCAAGAACCTTATATTAACTTGAATCTATTCCATAAACCAGAATACAGATCTCAACATTCTCTTAATGGCAGTAAAGTGATACATTAACTGAAGCTTACCTTCTGTTCTGGATTTTCCAAGGTAATTATTCAGCAGGACAAGGACATCAAGATATGTTGCTCTGGTCACCAAACAAGGATTTTGCCTAGAAACAAAGTCAATGAATTTATATTGCTTGAAAACCAGTGATACAGCATCTTAAAATACTACCAATCATAAAATTCAATCATTCATGAAATGGGAAAGATACCAATCATAAAATTCAATAATTTATAAACTGATAAGAAATTCAGTCCACTTTTTAATGCGTTTTATGGTTTTGTTAAGATAAATAAAGTGAATTTCATAAATACTTTAATGGACTCTAAAAAGTTTATAAGTGATATGAGAAAGGAAGCTTTCCAGGTGTTAATTTAGAAGCTCACATTCCTGCATTATATTGGTCTTTTAGCAAATGTCTTCTAACCAAATTTCACATTAATATTAACATTCACAACAATATCTTAATTGTTCTTTGGTGTCTATTTTATTTCTCAATTTTTTTGCAACTAGTAACATTGTTCCACAATTCTGTACATCAATGAATACAAAACTGGAAGCGGACTCCAGAGCAAGAAGCATTCCATTAGATTCGGCTGTACTGGTAGCCAAAATGGTACGCGCAAGTTTCTTTGCTCAGCAGTGTTTGAACTCTTTGCTAACTATACAGAGACTTCGTAAGTTCATAAGTTAGTAGGTTCTTCTTCATGATCAAACAATGCAGCCAACTACCCTCCCTCCAACAAGTTTGACAGAAGTACTGAATACACTTGAGTATAAGCCTTAAAAAGGGGCTGAAAAAAGCCCCCCTCAGCTTATACTTGAGTCAAAGTTATTTATTATTTAACTCTACTATTATTACATTTATTATTTTACTCTGTTATTACTGTTATTATTACATTTCCATTATTTTACTCTATTATTATTATTATCATCATTATTACATTTATTATTTTACTCTATTATTATTGGAAGGCTACGTAAACACATTTATATTGAAGGTTAGAATAATGACTTAATCAGCATTGGACAGTCTTATCTTAAATTACAGTTTTATGTAGATATTCAAAAACATTTAACCTGCTGATGTCTCAATTGATGTAATTTTATTGGTATCTAATTTTATTTTGAAATTTAACAGTAGCTGCTGCATTTCCTACCCTCAGCTTATACCCGAGTCAATAAGTTTTCCCAGTTTTTTGTGGTAAAATTAGGTGCCTCAGCTTATATTCAGGTCGGCTTATACTCAAGTATATACGGAATATTAAAACAAAAACTAAGATGCTCTGAGTTAAGGAAATAAATGCTCTTATTTGTTTTGAAAAAAGGGTATATTTCGATCCCCCTTTCCATTAGTCTTTCTGATTCATTTTGCTTTTTTTCATTTCTAGATTTTGAAGATATCAATTGTTTTTTTTCTAATAAATTCTCACAAATTGCATTCCCCAGTATCTATGTGAAAAATCAATATTTAGGGTACCTGCATTTTGTTCTATGTACTGTGAAGCTTAACGGTAGCTTTCACCAAACTGGCTCAATATAGATGTTATGGAAGACAACTCCTATTATCCATAGAAGTTTTTATAGTTGGCCTAATGTGGCCAACTATAAAAACATTTGTACCAGATAATATTGTACAACCACATTAAATGAACTGCTTTTTAAAAGATTTATATAGAGGTAAAAGTTTAGTTCTATAATGCATTTTAAAGAAGTACCTGAAGCAAAAGGGGCTCCAAAAATGAAAATTGGGCTTCATTAACTTTTACACTGTTTAATACTACTTTTAATATTTCTTTAAACGTGATCCATACTGTAAAAGCTTGGGTCATGTTCTTCATAATATAAAGCAACTATTTTATTAGGATTTTAAAGTGGACTATATAAAAACAGTGTATGGCCGCCATTATATGAGTACGATGCGTGCTCTTCACATCATGGATTGTAACTGAGCTAGCCAGGGAAATAAAATACTAAAAAAGCAAAATAAGAGCAGACTATTAAATTAAATGAATGTAAATATTTGCTCTCAGAAAAGATGCACATCGTTAAATGCCCTGCCCATAGGAAGTCATAACTTTAGTGTGGTGGTGCCTACAAAACTGGTCTTGGCAGTATTTCAGTGCTCTCCTTTTTCCTCTTCATACACACACACTTGAATGCCTAACTGATTTTATCCTGAGAACGGAAAGTTTCACACACAAAAATGAATCTTAGGGAATGTACTTTTACTAAATTGGTGTTCTTCATAAAGTCAACTCATCAGTATTGCTGCTTATTTGACAATCTTAACCAGATATCAATTATTTATATTTTATTTACTTCATTTCTACTCGCCTTCTTTGACCCTGGAGGGGGACCCAAGGCGGCTTACAAATCCGGCAAAAATTTAATGCTGCGCAGATAAACAATAAAACACATCTCATCAAAATATAAGCAATTAAAATACATATCAATCAATCAAACAGATTAAAAACCATATAAAATGCCAAGAGGCGATATCATATCCAGAATCATTTTCAAAAAACAATTAGGTCCAAGTTTGTCACAAAAGTATAATGATAGAAACAGGAGAAGCTGTATAAATCATAGAATCATAGAATCATAGACTCAAAGAAGAAAATGACATGAAAATATAGTTAGGTAGGCAGATATTGACAAATGTGCCTTTTTATTAGTTTTAATTTTTAAGTCTTGTTTTTAAATGTTTATTCATCAAAACATGAATTTTTAGTTGTGTGATGCCTAATTTGATGTATTGTTTCACTATTTGATTTATGGGTTGTTTATTTGCTTTGTTTTTGGTTGCACTTTACAGCATTTAATGTTTGCCGCAATATGTTGTCCTGAGTCCCCATTGGGGAGATAGGGTGGGATAGAAAAAAATATTATTATTATTATTATTATTATTATTATTATTTGAAACACAACAAAATGAGTCAACAGCAGACACTCTGCTGGCTGTTGAATTGGATCACACGTTGGACACTTCCCAAGTGTCTAGGACTGTGTGATGTATTGGCGAATAATGCGTGCAGATCCCAGTAAGGTGGCCATCTGCAGCCGGCAGATGGTAATTTTGTCAGCGCCAATTGTGTTTAAGTGCAGGCCAAGGTCTTTAGGCACTGCACCCAGTGTGCCGATCACCACTGGGACCACCTTTACTGGTTTGTGCCAGAGTCTTTGCAGTTCAATATTATTATTATTATTATTATTATTATTATTATTATTATTATTATTATTATTATTAAGAAATCCGCACAGAGAATGACTTAGCACTCACAATAAACACATACAAAAACACATTTTGATCACTAATTCCAAAAGATATAACAGTAGATGGATAAAGAAGCAGGATATGAAAAAAATGTTTGGAATCCGCCCTGAGTCCCTTCAGGGAGATAGGGATTATTATTATTATTATTATTATTATTATTATTATTATTATTATTATTGCAGCATTCAAAGTGAAGGAAGGAATTATGAAGGAAGTTAGAGAAATTTGTACTCACATACGAATACTTAGAAAAACACTGATGAACAACATCAGTGTGGCTTAACAGCTATACCTCATATATGGTGAAATCAGAATTGTTTCAAGTAGACAGTGACTTGGCACATAAAATCACTGTAGCAAAAACTGATGCACAAGTACACACAATGTAGATGGACAACATCCCTTAAGGATCAAAGACAACTTGCGAATTAACTTTCCAAAGAACTGTCACAGATACATAGAAGCAGAAAAGCCACATGGTACTTATTTCTGCCACTTTCCGTGCAACAATTCATTAGTTCTTACAAAACACTATAGAGCCAGCCAATGTCTACATCTTAACATCACAATCTTGTTAACTCCCTGCAATACTTGTCTAATTACTGATAAGTGCCAAATTAAAGGAAATCTTGCTATTTTCAGCAAAGAATGTTCCAACATTAACTTTATTTTGAACTGCCTCAACTTTGCAGTATTAAAGTATTTTTGAACTTCTGTACAAATAGTTTTATAGCAATACTTTGTTTTATTTTATTGTAAACCAGGAAGACAGGAATGAATGAATAAAATAAACCCAATCTAGGTTATGGACATTTTATTTTTATACCAATTTAATTGGTCCTTTTCAACACAAAACACTACATCTTCCTCTGAGAAAAAAAGGATGATTCAAATATTGTAAAATAGTCAACTTCAGTGGATCCCACCTCTGCTGAAGCAGGAGCCTTCTGCTATCAAATTTAAAATGATCAAGTATAATATTAAATATTACTGCAGTTTGTATTCATGGATATCACAAGGAAGAGTTTCAAAACAATATATTTCATTGTATCTTGACATCTATTTTCACTTTCTATTTGAATCAGCTAAGTCATCTACAAACATCTGTTGAACTGGGAGATTTCATTTTTCAAGCACTTGTATAAAACTTCCTTGCTACCATGTCCCATTGAATTCAACAGGTCGATAACAAGTTACTGTCATGTAGGATTGAATTGTAAAACTGTTGAATTTTTTAGCTGTCTTTTGCCACAATAACCACCTCTTTTCAATCTACTGTATATACTTGAGTATAAGCCAAGTTTTTCAGCCCTTTTTTAGGATGAAAAGCCCCCCTCGGCTAATACTTGGGTGAAGGTCCTGGCGAGAAGGCGTGGGGCTGAAAGAAGGGCTTATTTCAGCCCCACGTCTTCCTGGAAGGACCCTCACCTCTCCGTACAGCAATCCTCCTCCTCCTCTCTTGTACAGTGCACACCTTCTTCTCCTCCTCTCTCGGCGCCAGTCTATCCCACTTTTCCTTATTCATATACACACAGCATTTCCTCTCAAATGTATAGTTAAAATAAACAATGGTTTACTTGAGTCAATAAATTGTCCCAGTTTTTGTGGTAAAATTAGGTGCCTCGGCTTATATTCGGGTTGGCTTATACTCGAGTATATATGGTATTTGTTTATCCAAAGTACTGGAATTCCACCTCCCATCTAACATTTGAAAGAGAAATTTGCTTTTGTACTTGAACATTTAAGAAAAACTTTCAATATCTTAAATAGGAACCATGGCAATAGAGAAGTGTTTTTTTGAAAGGAAAGTTCATGACCGTAACATACTCTTAGAGATAAACACACAAAAACAGTTTGCTGATTGAAACAACATTCTTCATTATGTCATTAGTCAAATACAAAAATGTCAACCCTATCATCTGTTATCAACCTGTGATAAGTTTAGGTTTTTAACGTACCTCTTAGCCAACCACAGCTTGGCTTCAATACAAGTGATGATGTTGCTCAAGCCTTGAAGACAGTCTGAATTAGCCTTCTGTTTGGAGTCCAAGAAGGACTGCAGCAAGTGAAAGACCTATATAAAAAAAAGTTGCAGACTGCTGTGATAATATTTTTCAAATATCCAGTTCCTCAGCTTTTGGCTTTCCTCAAAAATAACAGATGGGGGAAAGGACCAAGCCACCTGCAGAACGGCCCTCTATGACTTGTACAGAAAGAGCCTGTGGGCTCAGGATTTAAATCTAAGACATATCATTTCTTTTTGCTCCGTGTCCTCCAATATGGCACACTTCATGGAGCAGATTGCCTCCTTTTCTCCAGCATTCATTTTCTATAATATGAAAAAATTACAAAGCCAGCCTTATTCACATACCAGAAACAAAACTGTACAATATTTACCAAGAGAGACGCCCTGCATGGATCATTTGTGTTGAATAAATGATTTCAGGAACCAACAACTTACACAGTTTTTTGGGGATTATTTATACAAATGTTTTTCCTCCTTGCTGCTTGCTTAAAACGTTTCACATTGTCTATCTGCTTTTCAACCCATAAGAGAAAAGACATAAAAACAGTCGCAAAAATAATAGGTCCTACAGTTGCACACACACACAACCAATTTCTCCCTCTCCAAGCTGAAACTTCTTACACTTAAAGAGAGTCCAGATACTGACTCAAATATGACAGTTTTATTTTATTTTGGTTTAGTCTTAACAATATTGATCATGGCAGGTAGTTCAATGTCCAGAACCAATGTTCTGACTAAATTTCTGGCATTTACCAGCTTATTCAAGGTCATCTAAATTACAGTATTTTGGCCAACAAACCTGCTCTAGTAGTACGCAGGTTTTATGAATGCTCAGAAAAGATGTGGCAAAATAATAATATAATAACAGGGCTCATGTTTAGGACAAAGTTCTATACATATTAATAAAGGTAATAGGTTAGCAGAGTGAACACATAATATATTGTAAGGAATGTTAAATTCTTGGTATTTCTACACGAAAATGTTTTAATAGTAAAATTAAAACATTTTTAACATGTGAAGATTACGAGTAGTGTGTTTTTCTCTTTTAGCGGGTTTACTGATGATTAAAAAGATTCCTAATTCCAATAGTTTTCAAAACTTTTAAGGAGAGATCTGAAAAATGTCACTTTAGGCATCAAAGGGGACCAAGATTTGCATTTAACACACAGTAATCATTCAAATGCAGTGTGCATGAGTTACCAAAAGCCTTATATTCATAAGCGTCCATCTTTTTTCCACTATGCAAGTAGGAAAAGGATTTTGACAATGGCTACATTCCCCTGATCTTACTTTCCTCCTGTAAGCAAACCAGAGATCCTTCCTGTTAACCTGTCTATCTCCCTTTATGAACGTTTAGGTTCTCTTGGCATGGACTATGCTCTCATCTCTCGCCACTTGACTCAAAGAAGAGGATGGTAAGAGTTAAGGTACAGTACTCACACTGACCATGAATACGTCAAATTAGATTTTTTGGGTTGATGTTTTTTACCAAAATTTCTAGACTTATATATATATAGGCTAGTTCAGGCATAGGCACACTTTTTTGCCTTGGGGCTGCTTTGTGGGCCTGACTGAGAGGGCTGGGTCAAGGGTGAGGGTGGCCGGACACGCTCTGGGTGAAACGGGCCCAGGAGGGAGAGGGCCTGTGAGAGGGTGGGGCTGGGAGAGACCAGGGCCCAGGTCATCCTCAGGATGTCCTCCTGGCATAAGGATGGGGCTTCTCACCCCATCCTTATACCAGGAGGAAAATGAGACATGCAGCAACTGCCCTGTTCCTCCTCCACTGATCTTCAGGCTGTCCTCTCAGCATTATGCCGGGAGGAGTGCGAGACATGCAGTGGCTGAGAGTGTTCCAGAGAGCTCTCAGCTCCTGCATGCCTTCCTCTCTTGTCCTTTCTGCATAAGGATGTGGTAGGCCAGGGAAAATGAGGAGGGCCTGAGATAAGTGGCCCGGGCCTTAGCTTGCCCATAGCTTGGCTAGTTCAAGGAGGTTAGCAGGGATGTATGTGTCTGCAAGGGACTATTCTGAACTTTCACTCATATTTCAAAGTCATACAGCTTAACTACTGAAATAACCCAAAGCCATGTAGTTCAACAACCAAAAACTAAAAGCGTCACATATACTTTTGCAGTGCAATATTTTTCAACAAGAGTTATGCCTTCTAAATGCCCATTTTAAAAAATAAACTCAACTAAAATGACAACATGTTGATGGATGTGTAAACAAGATCCATATTTGCTCAGCATACTTGGAAAAACAACAAATGTGTTTTTGTCGATCAAGGTAAGCTTTTGCTTGACTTCTCAAAATAACAGTGTCTTCTTTCAGTTGTACCATCCAGGCTGCATCAGCACATTTTCTACAAACACTAACAAGACCATCCTAAAACTGAGATTTGTGGTTTCTTCATCAAAAGTTGGAAAACTAAAATGCTGAGCATACATGGAGGGACCACTTTGAATGAACACAGCTTTAAATTAGGGAGGAAAAAGTCAGACAAAAAATTAGAACCTGTTTCCTCATTTACTGAACATTAAATAATAAAAGGATGGAATCCTTGAAGTGACTGGATTGACCTTGAAGGAGCTGGGGATGGTGACGGCCAACAGGGAGCTCTGGCATGGGCTGGTCCATGAGGTCATGAAGAGTCGGAAATGACTGAACGAATGAACAGCAACAAATAATAAAATGAAACTTAAAATTTATTTTTTCATTGATATAATCATTACAGAAAACCATTTTAGCTTTTAAAGGAAAATCTATCTCATGCCAGATTCCATGTTTCTGACTTGTGCCATGTTATGGTTGCAAAAGATGTATAATAACCTCCTTCAAACCAATTTCAAAACTGTTTTCTTCAGTGAAATCATTGTGTAACTTTCATTTATAACTTTGTACTGGCAGTTATCCTTATCATGAAATCTCTTCTCTTTTGTATTGTAGTTAAGTAAAGCTTAAGACAATATCGTTGATACCTAGAATAGCTAGTTCTTATCTATCCAGTGAATACAGATGACAACTTTTGATGTCCTATGTACTAAAGTAGCCATTAGGCCAGTATGCTGTTTTGTCAGCTGAATTTATAGAAGTATCCTGTAAACCATTAATTCAATCAGTTAGGAACCACTCCTTGGGATCTGAGGCACCTATCTGCACCGAACACACCCCTTTGCTCTCCTTGTTCACAAAGCATTGCTCCCCACCATACAAGATCATGTACCTAAACATTCAGAAGTTCCTGGCTGGTTTCAGTTTACTTTGAGACTTTGCCACCAACACACTATATGCTGAGATAATCTTAGTATGAACACTGGCTACCACCACACTTAAAAGGAATATTTAGCTTCTTGTTTGGCAAGAGGTTTTCAGTAAGCTGTGTTGTGCTGGATTCGCACTCAGGGCTCTGAACTTTGAGGTAAAACAATGAGATTCTTTTAAAATGTCGCTGCCACCAATCTTAAAAGTCTGTTTCTCCAACTGCTGTGGAACTATTTCACATAGAGGCACTCTTGAGTCAGTTGTTGTTTAACAAAGAACAAAGTTGTTTATTTGTGAGAACTTCAACAATACAAGTACTTAAGCTTAACGGTTGCAATAACGAGTTGGAGCGTATGGTTACTTTAAAAACAGTTCAAGGCTTAGTTTCAAAAACAACTCTTCACTCCCACAGGAAACTAGCAGACTTCCCTCTGGCTAGAAATCCTAAAACTCCAGACAGTCCTTTCCCTTGGATCTGCCTATTCTCTATACCAGCTATTCCACCTAATAGCTAACTATCTTTACTAACTGACCAACTCTTTCCTTCTCTGACTTCTCTTCTCCTAACACACAAACCCTGACTCCACTCTTCAAATACCAGACCCTAACTGAGCTGTCAGATTTTAATTTTTTCCTGCATTCTCGCTAAGCTCTGCCCACTTTCTTCCAGCCAATTACCAAGCTTCTCCACATTTCCCTCCAGGCTGCTCCTAAGCTCTGCCCCCTCTAGGAAATGGATACTCTAAGATGGCTGCCTCCATGCACCATCTCATAAAATGGCTGCCGAAATTCTTGGGCCTACTTTCTGAGCTTTTCCTGGCCTAAAAAGGTAGGCAATTCATCACACTTGTCCATGAAACCTACTGGTGACCTTGGGAAAGTCACGCTCTCTCAGCTTCAGAGGAAGGCAATGGCAAACCTTTCTGCATAAATCTTGCCTAGAAAACCGCATAATACGATCGCCTTAGTGTCGCCACAACTCAAAAAGAATGCAAAAGCACACAACAAATCAACCCTTGTGTGCCAAGTTGTGGTGTGAATATTCCCATAAATACTTGAAGAAGGCTTAGGTAATTTCATTTTTCATTGACTCGCGTAGAAGTCAACCTCATGTATAATTCCAATCAATTTTAACTTGTGAATTTTATCCTGCCAAGTGAATTTTAATCTGTATTTAATCTATGTATATTTGTTATATGTATTTTAATAGTTTTGTTTTATCTTGCTATTTTAACAATGTTTTATCCCACCTCAAGCCAAAAGAAGAGACAGGTAATACATAATAATAATCATCACCATCCTCATCACCATCCTCATTAGTCAAAAACAGGTTTTGGGACCAATACTATGGATTTTGATATGATCTGTAGATAAGTCGAAGTCATTTCATGGAGAGAGGAAAGCACAAATGTCATCTCAAAGGGTCAGTTGCCCTTAACCTCCAGCACCATTTCCCCACCCAGGCATTCAGAAAAGCCAGAAGTGACACCACAGGAGAGAGAGTAAAAGGCAGTTGGAGTTTTTTAAGGTTCTCCCAGGATGGACTAAGCTCTCATCATGTGGTGGAGGCTATTTCTTTGGAGGCTTTTAAGCAGGGGCTGGATGGTCATCTGTCAGGGGTGCTTTAAATGTGATTTTCCTGCTTCTTGGCAGGGGGTTGAACTGAATAGTCCACAAGGTCTCTTCCAACTCTTATGACTCTATGAATATATGATTATATAGCACAAATTGGCAGTGGATACACTGGAGGCTACCAATCATATATGCTCATGAAGGATCCTTTTTCAGT